AATTGAAAAGAAGTTGAAAATGAGCGAAGGGCCATTAAAGCGACAGTTTTTCAAGATAGACGCACACTTTTGCCTAACCCGTACGATGTACGCGGGGACTTGAAGTATGTCTCCAAGTCCACAGGCAAAAATGTGCGTCCCTCTTTTTGCTCATAAACTGACTGCGGCTGTGGAATAGTTCTAGCGACGTTTTCATCACTACCTAAAGCCCCACGTTGCGAGAGCATTTCCAGTCGATGGTGTGTTATAATGCAGTTCTTCTTTACCCAACTAAAAGAGGGACGCAGAGCAAAAGCTCGTATACAGGTTCTCCACCTGTTTAATGTTTTGATAGTAAACATCATAGTTAAGGTACATCGGTGCTAGTTGAAACAGTACGTATATCTCTTAGTGGAAGTGAATATGCACTGTAATTATTTTTGAGAGGCATTGTGTACTACCGCAAACTATATTAGAAATAATCTCAATGATTATTCACTTCCGCTAAGAGCTACATCTACCGTTTCAACTTCCCCACGCGTTTCTACTTGCCCCGGTGTAGGGTAATGGATTTTGGTTGAACCTATTCATGTCATTTTCGCACTGCGTCTAAATGTATGCCGTGTATTTCGTTTTTTGAGCACAATGATATTTTTTCGAAACCGTAGACTTTCATCTCGATTTTTAAATCAAAGTTTAAAGCAAAATATTAAATCCACTGTTTGACACTAAACTAACAAATTGACAGCTCGCTCCCATATAAAGTCCCACTGAGGGGCGCTAAGATGGTGATATTTGCTAATGTAATCACACTTATTTAAAATAGTTTCAATGCTCCAAATTTAATCAAATTTCGGATTTCGGTTCCATGTTTAATGTAGATTACGAATATGCCTTTACCTCAATACCCTTAAAGAACCCAATTGGAAACAGTAGATAGAGCTTCTTTCTCTATGATGCACGGTATATGCATTTGGGTTAACATCCGACGCCCCTCCTTCTTTACATATTCTGCACAAAAAATACTTTCTAAGCCCCGCCCAAGACAGGATTACTCACCGTTTTTTTATGAATGGGAAAAATTGGGAAAAACGCGTATTTCATGAAAACAGTGATAAAATTATCATTTGTACATTTTCAAAAGTTTTATTACAGAAAAATTTAAAAAATCTTTATTTTAGCAGGTTTGTAATGTAATATCCTATCGATTGGCGTATTTGGATTTTAATTTAATTTATAAATGACAAAGTTACAAGCGTTCAAAACCTAACATAACTTTACCACACATATTTTTTGATTTGCACCCCAGTATAGTCGACAGACGTAGATCTACGTCAAAAGTTGATTTACTGGTAGTTAATGTTTTTTTTTGTATCCAATTCTCTGAACTTCTGTGAGGTTCTCAAAATCTTTTCTTAGTGTTTGTGAACATCTCTGGATTTCTAAAAACTTTGGGAGCCTCATTGTCCACTATCTCTAAGAAATTAATGTAACTTCAAGTTCTCTGAACATCAGTGAAGTCCTCGAAGTTTTCCTGAAATTTCGTAACTTCCCTGAAGATCTTTGGACTTTTCCGAAATTTCTCGAAGTTTCTGAATGGAAAACATTTCCTGAAATTGGGTTGTGTAGGGGTATTGAGGTAAATACATATTCGTAGTCTGCATAAAAAAGGAACTTAAATTCAAAATTTCATCAATGTTGGTGCACTGGAACTATTTTAAATCAGTACGATTACATGAGCAAAAAAAAACATCTTAGCGCCCCTCCGTGGGACTTTGTATGGGAGCGATCTGTCAACTAATGGATTTAGTGTCAACGATTAAAAAATTTAAATCTTGATTTGCAAATCGAGATGAATGTCTAGGGGATTGACAAAAATATCGTGGTGCTCAGAAAATGAAGCTCTTTCAAATGATCTACAAAAACCGGTATGTTTTTCGAATTGAAACAACCCAATTATGAATGTAGTTCTTTGATTTTCAATGCTGTTCTCGAAATTTTCCTGATATTCATGGAACTGCCCTTAAATTAACAAAACAAAATCTTCAACACCCTTTCCTGTTGTTATTGGAACTACCCGAAACATCTCTGAACTGCGTTAAGCTATCTAGACTTCCCTGAATTTCACTTCTATGAGGTTCGCTGATTCCCCCCAAATTTTCAAATTGATCTGAACTTCTATGGACTTCTTGGAGTTTTAGGGCTTCCCTGAAGTTGCTTATATTTTCTGATATTCAATAAAATTCATTGATAGCCTTTATTGAACAATTTTCCAAACTTCTTCGGAACTCCTTGAAAGTTCCTAAAATCTTCCTGAAGCTCTCTGTCATGAAAATCATGGAACTTCTCTTCAAATGTTTTCGCATTTTCTTGATGTTCACGTTTCCAAAATTTTCGTGGAGCCCTCGGAATTACGCTGGAGTTTTCGTACACTTTCTGAGTTTCTCAGAACTCCTTCAAAGGTCCATCCATCCATCTATATATTTGAACTACCCATAGGTCAAGGTTGAAAATTCTCATTTCGCATAAAAACATGTTTTACGGCATAATGAAATCAATAAGTTATGATCACATGTTTTGTAAGTAAGTTACAAGACACATACAATCTGTCGGTTTTGCTTTCTGTGAGTCACAATCAGTGATTTTGTGATTTTTGAGAGAGTGAAAATTGATAAAATTGTTGAATACAAATCTCAGGAAGCGAAATTTAGAGGTTTTGTTTTGTGTCATACACATAGGTTTGCAACCTCTTCTTGTATCTTACAAACATAAAATATGATCATAACATCTTATAATTTCGTATAATAAGAAACGAGTATTTGAAACCTTTGTTTTCTGTTCTCTCCTGATTTTTTAGGGGCATCCCTGAAGTATCTCATTTCTTTGGACGGTCTTGGTACGGTCCTGAAATAAATTGAACTATCCTGAAAACCTTTAAACTTCTTTGAAGTTCTCTGGACTTCTGTGAAGCTTCCAAAATCTTACTGATGTTTTGTTAAGTTCTTAAAAGTTTTTTTTTGACTTTTCTGAAATTCCTTCTTCTTGAGAGTTCTTGAACTGTTTCAGAAGTTAATGGATATGTCAAGGATTTATCGTAACTTACCCTTACAGATCTAGACCATCCTGAAGTTTTTTTTTAACTTCCCTGATATCATTGGAACTACCTTTAAGATCTCTGAAAATCCCTTAAAATTTCAAGACCTAACTTATCTGTAGTACTTGGAACTTCTAAAACTCTTAAAAAATTTTCTCAAGTCTATACTTTTCTTAAGTTCCTTTGAGTTCCCAGACATTTTCTGGATACCCCTGAAGTGCTTAGGACTTTTTAAATATTCCTTTAATTTTCCTGAAGCTAATGGAATCGGGTCGAAGTTCCCATAATATTCGGTATTCGGCATTAGGTACTTGGCTAACTCTCCCGAAGTTTGTTTATCAATCTTTCCTGAATTTCTGGTCGTTTCCTTTCATTCCCAAGAACTTCTTGAAAGCTCCTAAAATTTGTTTGTTGTTAATAGGGCTACCCTGAAGATCTATCATCTTCCAAAAGTTCACGAAACTTCCCTGAAGTTCTCGCTATTCTTCTGATCATGTTCCTGGAGTTGCCCTAAAGATCTGCAAATTTTCCTGAAGTTTTCTAAACTTCCGTGAGTTTCCTGGATCTTCAGTGAAGTTTCCGAATTTTTCCTTTTATTCACAGGGAAGTTTACCTGAAGTTCTTTGGACTATCATAAGATTTTTGGAATTTTTGAAGGTTCCCGCTATTTACCTGAACTTAATTGAACTGCTCTAAATTCCTCTAAATTTAGCTGCAGTTTTCAGAACATCCCTGAAGATCCTGAAAATTATCCTTATATTCATGAAACAGCCTTAAAGTTCCCTAAATAATTTTGCACTTTTCCTGAAGTTAATGGAACTGCTCTAAAGCTCATTGGTCTTCACTGAAGTGAATTTTCATGAAATCTTTGGGACTGTTCTGAATCTATCGGAACTTACCCTTTAAGATCTTTAAACTTCCCTGTAGATCTAGACGATTTTGATGTTCTTGGAACTACCCTGAAATTTTCGTAACATCCATGAAATTATCAGATTTTATAGAAGATTCCCGCAGTTGTTATATGTTAATGGAACTACCATATAAGATCCGAGATTATAACATTAACATAGGTACTAAAATATCTTCAAATGTTTAGATTACGTTTTCTCGTGTAATTTGTTTTTTTTTTTTTTTTTTTTCAATCCGGTGGAGTTTTATCTGAAAGGTACTGCAAATATTATAACTTTCGAGCCCAGATCATTTTTGAATAAAATTTTTAGACGAATTTGATTTCAAACGATTTTTAATGCGAGGAGCAATACTAAATATGTTCTCCTTCAAGAGCGCATATGGGCATCAGCATGATCTAAATAAAACCAAACGTTTGTACGTGATGGTTGCATACCATTTTATAACTGATTGATGCGAACTGAATACACATTTTTTTAAATGTTTGTTTTTGACTTTTAATTTTTATCACATTTATCATGTTGTATGTTTGCAGTCCATTTTTTTTGCATATTAGCGCATTATTATCTAGATGGGCGTCTAAAAATTCCCTTATGTATTTAGATGCGTAGCTTTTGTAAGAGGATCGTATGTAGATCAATATTTTTGTGCCCAGTTAATAATGGTTAAATAATAATAATTGGTTTTCGGAGCTGGATAATCTTGGAGTAACAATGAGTAACCTCTGTCGGCAGGCCTACATAAAAAGCTCTCAAATTAAATGAAGAAGTTAATTACCATTAAAATGCCCACATAAAATAATTAAGGCAATATAAAAGTTAATGGTAATGAAGCTATTGGCTAATAAATTCGAAAACCAAACCCGCATGAAGGAGGCAAAAGTGCGCGTCTGAATCCGATCAGCACCAAGTTCACTGTCATGCTTGTTTTTATTTTTTCGCCATGTTTACCACCAAACTTTTATTTTTTGTTTTCCTTTCAATAACCTCTAATTATATTTCCATCGCATTGTTTACAGCCAGCAAATTGAAGGTATGCTCGCGGAACGATCCCAAAATCGACCAGTGCATTATGGACGCGGTGAATCACATCCGGCCAAACCTGGCGTCCGGCGATTTCGGAGAGGATTTCAGCATCCCGAAGATCGAGCCGCTGTACATCGAGCAGATGAAGATGCAACGGGGCCAGGACTTTCAGGCTGTGTTCAGCAAACTCAACGTGTACGGGTGCAGTTCGTTCAAGTTCGAACGGTTACAGTGAGTGTTGTGTTGTGTTTTGCGGATGTTTGTTTTCCCTCGGGAATGGGTGGTTTAAATTTGAATTCTTATACTTTTAGATCCAAACCAATGAACTTGTCCTTCGACATTACGGTGGGCATACCGAAGTTGAATTTTACTGGAAAATACTCGCTCAAGATGAAACTGCTGCTGCTGAATTTGCAAGGAAAGGGTGATCTCAAGGGATCGCTGAGTAAGTATTGGAGTGTTGAACTTCTCGCTATGAGCTCTTCGTCGTTTTGGGAGGGTTGCCTACTGCCTACCCAGTGATTTCGATGCATTGATAATAGGAACCTGTTCTCATAGTAGAATGATTGTTGAATATCTTCGTTCCGTTGGTGCTCGTGGTTGACAGCAGGTGGTTGTATTTGATTGATGAAATGAAAACTTATAAAAATTAACGAAATTTAGTAATCTTTGAAAAAGAGACTGGACTGACTTTGATGAAATTCTATTTAATTTTAGATTAGATTTTCAAACACGTTCGAGTAGTTTTTGACTATATTTTGATTAAAACTGAAATAGGATAGGTGCGTCAGAGGCCTACAGGCCCTCTAATTGACCCCATCTTAAATTTAACAGTTTTTCATTCTTAACCAAATTCATTTCAATACCTTTTGCCAAATCACGCAAATTGTCTTACCTCCATTATAAGGTTGAATTTATTTCATCTTCTGCATATGTTTCATACACAAGTTCATACAAAAATGTAATGGCAGTTCTTGAATGATTTTCTAGACGCAATTTGGGGAAGCTAACTATGTTTGAAAAATAAGCTGACATACACTTATATGACAAACTATGAACATGAGCATTATTTGTATAATAAATTATGAGCACATCCTAAAACTATAGAAGTGTGACCATGGATGTGCTCATAATTTATTATATAAATAATGCTCATGCTCACAGTTTGTCAATAAATAAATAAAGTGTCTTCGCGGCATAAGGGTTTTCTTATACGACACTTATCCTGCTCATTTTATAATAGTAGTATGTTCGAACAAGTTTAACCGTCAGGTTTTATATCAACCCGGTTCTAATAAGGTTCTAACTACATTGATCGATTCTCTTAATGATTTTCTCTTTGGATTGCCACGGCCATGTAAACTCGTTTCGGGCTATTTTCGACAAGCAGTTTGATGGAAGAAGCTATTATCTAGCAATTTATACGACAAGCACAGCTAGAGGCACAGCTTACAGAGGGGGAGGGGCTCAAACCATCATAAGAGCCTTTCGCGGCCCCAGACAGACAGACAGAAATTCATTTTTATATACAGGGGAAATGGATGTAATGTCGGCCTAAATGCCCCTAATTTGGGCCCGTACATAAATTCAGCAATCGACTAAATTTTCAATAGCGACCAAAAATATCCATTAGTACTGTCTCAATGACGCGTTCATCTAGATAAAATTGATAAATAGCAGATTTTTAGCAATGGGCCCAATCTTAGATCCATAGGCCTACGTTAGAGCCATTTACCTTATATAGATTCCTTGTTGTGCTCATACTGAGCATTGATTCTGAGATCGTGGCATTCATGCCGTGATGCAGAACCTAGCAAGGATAATTACTAGCTACTGTGTTTCTCCTTCACTGCGATTATTGCTCAGAGGTTGCTTGTTACTTTCGAAATGTGAATTTTCAATCTGAACAAACAATTTGCCGGACTACTTTGTCTGTCAAAGTGTATTGCCGTCGTATCGCATCATATTTTGACAGTCAGCATTTCAATAGAGGTTTCGTCAGTGAGAATGGAGAAATGTAGCACGTAAGTTGTCACGTGATATTGATGAAATAATGCAGCACAGGACCACTAGCGTGCACAGGAATCTTGTTGGAATGTCGTTTAATCTGGGGATGGGGAGTACTCCAAAGTGCGTGGGAGATGGTGCTGTCCACCCACCACAATTTTGCTATTGTTTAATTTAGCTAATTTTTTTATTGTTTACTCCGGTGGTGGTTCATCTTCTTCAATGTAAACTGCGGAAATTGGCAATTTAATCGCATCGACGATGATGAACCGTCCCAAAGTTCCGTCAGTCGGGGTGACAGAAAATGATGCCGAACATTCAACATATTTAAAGATAATATAAAAGACAAACCCGAATTTATTGCAACGCACATAAACAGCTGTAACTTTTTAAAAACGGTAGCAAATTACTTGAAATTTTCAGAGAAGATTCTTAGATGAATTTTTAGTAAGACAACAATAGACCAAGGTTCAAAGGCAAACTAATACCCACTTTACAATTAGGGAATCCAAAAGCTGCTTTTAAACTTTGTACAGTTGCGAAAAAGTCCATCCTCAGAATTCCTTGTGGTTCTTTTCGAAATTTTTAGAACTCTATGAGTTCTTTTGAAATTCTTCTCAGAAGTCCTCTGGAATTATTTTTAGAACTCTTCTTGACTTTTACTCACAACACCTTGGAACTGAAATTCCCTTAGAGTTTCAGAAGAATTTCCTCAAAAAAAAAAATGAAATTATCGGTACTCCCTTGGAATTTTCCTCAAAATCCCTTTGGAATTTCACTCAAAATTTAATTTTCTCGATATTCTTTTCGGAATTATCTAGGAACTATCTGCAGGATTCACAAGAAATTACACGCAGAATTTTCTTGGAATACTCCCCAGAAATTCTTTGGAACTTTCCTCAGAATTCAATATCCTTGAGGTTCTTCTCGGATTTTTTTAGAACTCTCTTAAGAGCTCTTTTAAAATTCTTCTCAGAATTCCACTGGAATTATATTTAGAACTCTTCATGATTTTTTCTCAGAGCACATTGAAATTGAATGAGCTAGAAATCATCCTCGGAATTCGCTTGAAATTTTGCTTAAAATCCCTTAGAAATTACACTCAAAATTGAATTTTCTCGGTATTCTTTTCGAAATTGTCTTGGAACTATCTGCAAAATGCACTAAAAATTATCTGCAGAATTTTATTTGAATTCTCCCCAGAAATATTTTGGATCTGTCATAAGAATTCTTCTCGGAATATTTTAAAACTTTTTTTTTCTCTTGGAACTGAAATTCCCCTAAAGTTTCAGAAGAATTTCCTCTGCATTCTCCAGAAAGTCTTCCCAGAATGAGGTTGAAATTATCCTCTGAACTCCATTATAAAGTTTCTCAACATCCCTTTGGAATTTCATTCAAAATTTGATTCTCTCGGTATTTTTTTTCGAAATTACCTTGGAACTATCTGCAGGATTCACTAGAAATTGTTCGCAGAATTTTCATGGAATCATCCCCAGAAATCTTTTCTTTTAGAACTGTCCTTAGAATTCAATACCCTTGAGGTTCTTCTCGGAAATCAAGTTTAAGTTGTCCGCCCATTCACCAAATCGTTGTAGTTTTTCCACCATAAACGTTCAATAAAGCTTGCCCCTCCATTCACCAGAACTGTGCATTTTTTACATCAAGCCTCTCCATGCAGCAGATTGTTGCAAATCTTACACCAGAAATTTTCAATACAAACTTGCCACCAGAAAATTTCAATTGATCAGAACGATGCAAATTTACCACCGTTAATGTTCAATAAAAATTGCTTCTCCAATCTTCTGATTGGTGCAGATTTCCTTTTTCCATTTTTTTTCCACCAGACATTTTCAATATAGCTTGCTTTTCCTATCATCAGAATGTTGCAGGTTTTCCACCAAATAAAGCTTGTCCCTATTTTTGGATTTTTCATCGTAAATTTTCAGTAAAGCAGCTTCCCTCCAAACATCAGAATGGTGCAAATTTTACACCAGAAATTATTATTAAAGTTTGTTTCTCTATTCAGCACAAGGATGCAAATTTAAGACCAAAATTTTTTCAAAAAGCTTGCCCATCCGTTCACCAGAACGGTGCAGATTTTCCACCAGAATTTTTCAATATAGCTTAATTTCAAATAAAGCTTGTGCCTTCATTTACCAAACCTGTGCAAGTTTTTCACCAGAAATTTTCCGTTCATTTCATTTATCAGAGCGATGCAAATTTTGCACAAGAAATTTTCAATAAATCATGCTCCTCCATTCACCAGAACGGTGCATTCAAAATTGTCAGTGAAGTTTGTTTCACAATGCACCTTTGTGATACAATTTTCAGGCTTTGGCTCTTCATGCACCAGAATGCTGCAAATTTTCCACCATAAATTTTAAATGAAGCTTGCATTCATCAGAACGATGCAAATTATGCACCAGACAAAATGAATAAACCTTGCTTCTAAATTCACCACAGTGTAGCGATCTTTCCACCAGACATTTTCAGTTAAATGTACACCTCCACATTTTTAGCGTGATTAAATTTTTTCAATTTTCGTTTTGATTAGCGCCACCTTGATGATATTTTTACACCAGACATATTCAATAAAAAGCTTTTTCTTCGATCTACCATCACGAAGGTGAATTTTTTCAACCCTAAATTTACCCTCTTCTTTAAACCCTCCACAGTTTAATTATAGTTGATTTTTTTTTGTATGCGACCAAAAAAATTCATTGAAGTTTGTCCCTTCATGGACCTTTGTGGTGCAATTTTCAGGGACCATCTAAAAGGAATTGACGCAATAAAAGGTTTTCAGTGCTCTTATTTTATGAAATGATGTTATTTTAACTTCAAATCAAGTTGTCAAGAAATCAAATTATTTTATATCATAATTTTGTAAATGTGGAAATAAAAATCTTTTTTATAAAAGGAGGGGCAATTGCCCCACCTTGCCCCACCCTGTGTGACAGGACTCGTGATATGAAAAACACTATGAAAGAAGAACATTTCAGAAGATAACAGAGGTACCTATACGATCAGTACCCAAAATGTTGTAGGAACATCCCAAATTTGTACAAGCCAGCAGGGAGAACAAATTCACTTGATGGTTGCTCATGACGTTGAAGCCGTTAATTGCAGCGGTAACATCTGCAATGCAAATTCCCATTGTCTTAACCAAGCTGAGTTGTTGAAGCACACTTAGTTTTTTTTTCACCATCTTGGCAACTTTTAGTAGAGATTTGCGCAATATTTAGTAGAGATTCCTCGGCAAAACATTTTAATGAAATTTCAACTAACACTACGTTTGAAAAATATGAAACATTTTCCGAAATTCTACAACCTTTGTTGAAACCTCAGTAAAATTTGTTTGCGGAGTACTCGGCTGTACTCGAACCTTAAGTAGCACAGCCCAACTAACATTGCCAGTATTAAAGTGGTTTTAAAGCATTCCAAAAGCCAAATCATGGTCTACACAACCCTCATCAAACCAAAATTGTTAATTCTGAGGTAATTCACAACTTTTTGGTCCGTCTCAAGTTTGTCAATCTACCATTAACTAGTTATTAATTATTTAAGGTTCTCTGTGTACTCATTAATCTCGTCCATACGTATTTTTTAGAATTCAATTGAGGAAATATTGTGAATCATTTTAAATACTATTGATTTTAAACAATTTTTTTATGGATGCGTTCATTTTAGACCATATGGAACATCTTTTGTTCCAGCACTTTCTTAAAACCATGTAGGTATTTGCATCTCAAAACAATGAAAACCTTCTAGAACGGAAAGGGTTAGTTTGAATTGTCAAGTAAAATCTCCCTCGTGTAATTAGGGTAGGTGAGTCTGGTTTTGGCCCTTAAACTAGTTCATTTAATTTTAAGGTGAGATTTAATATTCTAAATAATCGCATAACTATCCCTTATGAATGGGGAATCAAGCACTTATAAGCAGTATGCTATTCACAGCAAAAAAAATTCAACAGTGCAAATGCAATATCCTAGAATGCATCAAAATACGTCGTGCATCAAAATACGAATGTTTACAGAACATTTAGTTAACTCTCTATTTGACTTATATCCCACACGAATGCTTCACTTCCCAGGTTTAATGATTTAAAATGCTTTTTAGACATGATAATGATCTGCAAGTGGTCTTAGCTGAAACACCTGTGAAACTAGTTGTACTAGATATCAAATCGCCAAACACTGGATAGCGATAGCAAGATAAACAGTTCGATAACTCATTCGCCTTTTCGTTAATTTCACACAGCAAACACCCGACTGGCAGTTCGCATCCGAGGTTTCACGGAGAAAATCGACGGCAAGGAGTACGTCCGCTTCCACCGGTTGGGCCTTCGGCTGAAGGTCGAAAGTGGCAACTTCCAGCTGGACAACCTGTTCAACGGGGATCCCGTGCTGGGGCAGGTCGGCAATCAGGTGATCAATGATAATTCGCGCGTTTTCCTGGACGAACTCATCCCTGGACTGGAGAAGAACCTGGGTAGGATTTTTACGGAAATTGTCAACAACCTGCTGAAGACGGCTACCATCGACGATATGTTTCCCGAGAAAGTCTAGCACCGAGGGGGACGAGGGGGTTTTGTTCCGGAGGGTTTGGGAGTGCCTCGCACTGGCGAGCATGATTGTGATTTATATAGTAGTCATTTATGTACAAATAAAGAAGTGAGCCTTTTTCAGTCTCTATTTGAGTACGAAGATTTCAAATCGTTGCGATTGTTTTAGTGTAGCTGTAGTTTGTGTGGCAATGAGTTTTACCCAGAAAGAAATCACCTTCCCATACTAATGTAATTTAGTAACATCTGGAGACATAGGAGTAGCCCCCCTAACTCAGTATCAGTTTTTTCAACATTGCTGAGAAATATACCTTATTACGTTGTTTTTCCTTTTAACTCTACTGCTATTGTATCACTTTCACTTACCCCGTAACGTGTGTAGATCACCTTTTCGTGGTACGTTACGGGATGTAAGATCTACCACCGATTCCTAGTCCTGACTACTTCAAACTAGGGGAACAGGATTTTTTCAGTAATCAAAGGAACACATATTAGTCCTTGATATGCCTTGTTGATAGTGACAAGACTCGGCTTTGTCCACCGTTAGTTAGTTAGTCTTCATCTATGTGATTCCTAATCTTCTATTCATTGTTCCCTAATTTGAAGGCTAGGGTTCTGATGCATGGTCATTATCGTTGTCATTGCCTAATTTTATTGCTAAATAATCAAATTTTAACTTACAAGGAAGCCAGCTGGTCATCTCAATGTTCGATTTGCCACCAAAGGGAGACAAAATTTCTTCAAAATTATTACCCACCACAGGCATGGAAAATCATCTGCATTCATTTCGTGCATTCATTTACATTCATTTGCCCCTAACTTTTTTTATCAACAGAATTTCTCAAAATTTTGTATGGAACTTTAGTAGGTTTTGCTATTACTTACAACTTTTGTTAACAACTCAAATCCGTATCTCTTATGCATGACGAACCAGAGCGAACAGAAGCCACTACTGTTTTTCAGTGAATGTATTTTACATTCACTGAAAAACAGTAACAAGTTCTGTCCGCTCTAATTCGCGATGCATACGAGATACAAATTTGAGTTATGGGCAAAAGTTGTAGCTTATAACAAAACCTACTAAAGCTCTAAACAACATTTTGCGGCATGCTGTTGATGAAAAAAGTTAGAGGCAAATTAATGTAAATGAATGCATGAAATGAATGTAAATGATTTTCCATGCCTGGCCACCACGTCTAGCTCCACAAAGATACAACTTGTATATCCACTATGGACCATATGGACCATACATAGAGAGTAGCGAGCTTTACCCGTAATTGGTCAGTATCTACTATGCATGCAGCTAGCAGGTGTTCGGGGAGAGGTAGAGGCAAGAGTTTTGGTGCGAGCAGTCGGTTAGCTTTTGAAAATGCTTGCCATTTTCTGATAGGCTGAGGACATAATCCTGATGGAAATCTCCGCACTAGTCATGGGAAGTTTGGAACTCTCTTGAGAAGTCCTATGGGATTTCCCGTCCAATGGATATCGTAAGCCGTATAAACTCCTCCGTGAAGTTCCAGTCAGTTTGGTCTATTTTATCTTGATCCATTATTTTTAGGCTAATCATCCATTGTTCGTTTGTATTGTAATATGAAAGCGCAGAAGCATGATTGGATCCCCTCAAGAAAATCAAAGCTGTTTGCAGTTTTAGTTCGAAGCAAAAGCTGATAATGGATTATAGAAGTATCTCACGTTGTCCAGCTATTTACCGTGTAGTGTTTTACATAAAAGTCGTGAAAAAGTCAAGTGGGATGATCAGTGGTGTGATTTTTGTGAGTGATTTTTGGATAATATTGCATTTGTATTCATAAAAAGTGCGGCTGTGAATTTATTGTTTGCTGTTAATCATTTAGCCGAAGCCGAAAATGTAAGTAGATTATCAATAACTAAACATGAGCCTGCTGGCACCGCAGTGCATCGTCATGCAATCGATTTTTCATTGACTCAGTGGAAGCAAAACCTGTCATTGTGAGCGGCGTGGTGTGATGATTAGAGTAAAACCAGGATTGACTAGACATACAGTATTGATCGATTATTCAAATGTTAGCATAAGCTGGCAACTATGCGTGTGTATTAATATTAATACGAGCTGTCGAGCATTGATAGAAACATCTTGACAATCGAAAAGAGAAACAGTTTTATTCCATGAAAATTGTTTCGTCCATTTTGTGTTAAAACCAGTTCTTTATGATTAGCATGAATTAGAAAATAATACTCTTTATAGCTTATTGAACCTTGCGATTCCTTATTTGGTTTGTTATCCTAGTTTCAACCTTCGGTACAAAACAAATGCGAGAGTCTGTAAAAATTAGTCAAGTTAACGAAATGAATGTAAAACAGACAAACACAAATATCAGCTGATCTTCAGGGGTATTCACCCATCTTGGAATAATTATGTTGATATACTGTCATTTGGTAGAATGGTTTTGGATGTCTTCTTTTTTTATTTTACTTCATTCAGCATTTTGAAAAAAGGCAATTTTAATTTTGTTTTCAATGATCTTGTTCTATAGTTATTTGAACATGCGCCGGTGACATTACTAGATGAATTTTTCAAATTGTCCTAGCTGATTTGATTTTATCATCCTTGATCAATTCGATTAGCTCTAAGTATTTGTATTTTTATTTATTTAGTGTAAAGTTAGTCTATAGTTGACACTTTTTACCAGGTCAAGGAAGAATACATTATTAAAGAATAAAAACAAACCAGCATAAGGCTGAAAGTCTCTTTAATAAAGAAACGAACAAAAACACATTATTAAAGAAGAACTGATTTTAAACAAAAAAGTATTAGTTTTTCATCGTAGCTATTAATCAACATTTATTTTTATGGTGCACGGACGAATAATAAAAATCTTCAGTAGACTAAGGGCCAAATTCTTCACCACCGCATAGGCTTTAAACCAGGCCCCTTATTGTGCAAGTCTAAACGAACTCAACTTGAGTGCATAATGTGGTCTAAGGTTTAACCATATGAGTAAACCTGGTTTAAAACTTAAGCGCATGTGAAGAAATTGTAAATCCGGTTTAACCCAAGTTTCACCTAAATTTAAAACCTGGGGGGGGGGGGGGGAGAGGTAGCTCATCGATTCTTCCGGTTCGCCTCCTAGCATCGTGCTATAAGGTACCAGGCGATAACCAGGGTAGTTGATCGATAGCTCGATGACGTCATTTCGTTGGCGTCTGCAATGGGAAATTCTCATAGCAGGCGTTGACGATGGGACGTTGTCGAGTTGCTGAATAGCAACTATCGTGGTAACTCACCGATTACCTGTCGATCTGCCAAATTTGGAAAGACGTCTGCATTGAATTGTCTCATATAATAATATTCCGCCCACTATATCACAAGAAATTGCGAGTAGCTGAGTGGAATGGAGATAAGTTAAGCATTGGGTACAGGACCAAGTCTCCCCTGGGTGGTGCAAGAAGATGAGCGCAATAGAATCATCAAGTTGCCATAAGGCACGGAATGAGACTATTGCATGGCTGGGTAGTCAAAGTCTTCAATTCGTTAGTCATTTCAGGTGGATTAGAACAGGTTTAGGTTTAGGGTGGGCGTTGGCCAGATTTGGATTTTTCAGATATAATCCTGGATAGGACCCTATCATTGAACGTCGCGTGAAAGTGGAACTTAATGAAGGCCTAAGTACTTTTTCGTAGTTTTTAGTTTTCGGATTTGAAAGATCGTCGGTTACAGTGGCCTGCTTACTGAGCAGAAAAACGCGGTCCCAGGTCCTTACATATCAAAGAAATTTATGGTAAAATCGCTTGTGTATCGTGTATTTTGCGAAACTCGTTGTTGTCGTTGGTTCCGGGTTTGAATGGATACACAAATTTGAGCAACGGTATTATGTGATATGAGGGGCTCGGTGGCCTTAGAGCAACCGTTTTTGCTTACTGAGCAGAACATCATGAGTCTAATCTCAGGCCCATCCCCATTCAAGATTCGTCAATCGTTTTATTTGTTAATATGACTACATGGTAATAACAGCAACTCGGCGATTAAAAAGGTGCTCGTCTGCCTAGTGGCAAACGTTTTTGCTTACTGAGCAGAAGACCGTGGGTTTAGTCCCAAGCTCCTTCGCGTTATATGATCGTTAGGACATCAATTCAGCTTATCGTTTACCAAAACGAACCCTGCTGCAAACCCAACCCTATTATCCAACATCCCAGTGATTCCTCGTGGAAGTGCAGAGGTGTTCTCGGCTTCCATCAAAGCGAGTGTCATGTCAACACAATCCTTCCCATTCCTTTCTTGACCTGTGTTCGGGCGCGGCCGGCGCTGGTATTGCCTAATTTAAGATCACCAGTTTTTACACATTGAGGATGATTGCTAGTCCCAAGCATCGTCTATTGGTTCTCTGTGTAATTACAGCTGATCTGGCAGTAACAGAGTAGCAACCGTGGGCGGTCAATCAAGCTCAAGCTCAAGCTCAAGCTATAGAAGTATCTCACGTTGTCCATGTTGTCCCTATTCACTGAACGTATCTCAAAGATTATTCCATAAAAAAGTTATACTGGACACCTCTGAGCATGTTTGCGAAAAGATTATCGCTTATTTAATGAATTCCAGTCATTTAAAATTCAATTCAATAAAATGCTAATAGTGATTTAATTCTAGAAAATAATATTTAAAAGTCCAAATTTATATCATTTATGTTTTGGTTAAACTTAATCTGAATCATGTTTGTTTTTGTTTATGATCTGGCATGAACGTTATGCTATATCACGCCCGCGTAGTGCGAACAAATCCACTTGATATAGATATCATCGCGCTAAATAACGTGATATAGAGCGTAATGAGAACGGGGTATTATAATACAAGGCCGTTCGATCGAACGTATTTGGGTTGCCTGGGCATTATACATAAATATTGTAAAATAAGAATATTGTTGGAGATGGAGCTAACATGCATTTATTTAAATATCTACCTAAACGCACCACACAACACCCTACAGTGTAAATCTCTCTGTAAAGAGTGGATAGAGCGCGCATGCGCTATCAGCCTCCATCCACCGATCACTGACCGTTAACCAAAACGATCGATGCAAAACCCACTCCCTATGTAAAAATTGTATATAGATTAGTAGTCATTAACAAACGAATTGAAACAGACGTGCGGTCGATAGTTCTGTGCTTCACTTTCTTATC